AGGGAGAAAATTATGTTTGTTGGTAGTTTGTTCAAGAGAGCCGTAGTGTAAGTAGACCTCACTGACTTGATTAAAAAATGTTGGCCTTTAGGTATGGACGCCCTTTCTGATGCACACCCTCTATTCAGCCAGCAGGATGTGTTGGTCGCTCACATCTTCAAGCGCCTGCTTTGGGAGGACCAGGCCAGTGTCGAAAAGACCTGCAAGAAGTGGCGGGTCTGGTGGCGCCTTCGCCACCTAACTTCAGCTACCCTTTCCATGGCCCAAGGGCTAGCATACAGGAGTGGATACTTCGGGATGTGCTGTTCAATGATGGCCGCGACCTCCATGCGTGGCTGAACAAGGACATTAATGTCCATTTTGATGCACAAATGAGTGATTTGACATTTAATTTTGAACAATATTCCCATGTTTGTAACAGATATGATGCATTTGAAACCTTGCATAATAGTTCATCATGGTGGGGAATGGGTTGAAGCTGGTGGTCAAATGATATACAATGGGGGGAGGGTCAATTCATTTGATGATATACCAGAAGATGTTGATTCTAGCTATGTGAAATAGGTAGTTGACAACTTAGGGTAAACAGACATAGTAAAAGTTCACTAACTACGTTCTCGCCCTATTTTCCTCATTTTCTTTATTTCTCTCAATTTCTCGATCATTCCCCTATTTTGTTCTCCTCTCAAAATTGGGGAAAAACTTCAAATTAAATTACATATTCATGTTAATTATTTCACAATTTGAAGTTTTTTCCCACTTTTGAGAGGAGTACAATATAGGGGAATGAGAAATTGAGAGAAAGAAAGAAAGGGAGGGAAAAGGGTGGGAAGGTTGTTAGTGGGCCCCACATGACGTCACATTTGAGTTGAGAGTCAAGTAGGTGGGAAGTTTTGACGTTTTAAAAAATAGTAGGTGGTAAAATTCAAAAAAAAAAAATATAGGTGGTAATTGTCAAAAAATCCAAATAAATATAAATATAAATATCAAAAAATATTTTTGTGTGATGTATTTTTTATATTGATATGAAAATAAAATACTTTTTTTTAATAGATGAAAATAAAATACTTAGGGTTATTTATGTAAAGCTATTCCAATATTTATTGAGACGTTTTCCCAAACTAAGCTTCATTTGCAAAGTATTTTGCAAAATGGTTGCGTGGCAAAAGTATTTACCAAACTAAGCTTGCAGGGTAAAACGCTGTTCCAGACAATATACCCTGTTTTTTTTTTTAAAAAAAAATTAATTTATAAAACGCTGTCGGGGACAGCGTTTTACATTTTGACTTTTTTTTTTTTAATTTCGTAATATGTAAAACACTGTCCCGTACAGTGTTTTACTTATTGACATTTTTTTTTTAGAAAAATAACCAAATTTTTTATTTAAAAAAAAAACAAAATTAGGAGGCAGCGTTTCACTAACATTTTTTTTTTTTTAAAAAAAAAAAAAAAAAAAAAAAACATATACTCCACGTTCTCTATTGAAGCATACCCCATGTTCTCCATTGAAGCAGCAACCATTACAGCATTCTCCATTGAAGCATGCTGTTGGTGGAGATGATGGGCCTCTGGATATTGCTATGAGGCTCTATGTTACTTCGTATTTCAGGTGACTTCACAATTGTGATTTAAAAAATCTCTGCAAATGGAATTCTCTTTCATGTGGGAATGCTGGATCTCTGTTGTATCCTTGCTCATTGGAGTACGGTTATCAATCTTTTCGGTTACTACCTGCAAGTCGGAAGGTGTTGAAGACTCAAAATGGATGCAAATGAGAGGTGTGCTGTGCAATCGGTGTTAGTAATTAGTCGGAAGCCACTTGTTTCCAAACTATGGGTCGTGTACTAGCACCTATTATCAGTCACCTTAGGTGGAGTATGTTGTAATTGATAGAGATGCTTGATATTATCCACCGGCATCTCAATGGCAACAGCTAGTATTATCAGCTAGTATTATTTGATATTATCCTAGCTTGTTATATTATCTTTTCCTAGTATCTAGCTTAATAGATAATTATTGTAGTATAGATAACTATTGTAGCTACTGCTTATTGTATCTATAAATCTCGCTTTATACTTGTACATTAATCAATACAATTTTCTACCTTACAATAATGGTTGCTGCTTCAATGGAGAACGTGGAGTATGTTTACATGGAGTATCTTATTTTTTTTTTAAATAATAATAAAAAAAAAGGTTAGTGTACTAATTTTTTTTTTCTTTTTAAAATTTGGTTATTTTTCTAAAAAAAAAAGTCAATATGTAAAACGCTGTTCGGGACAGCGTTTTACATATTACGAAATTAAAAAAAAAAAAAAGTCAAAATGTAAAACGCTGACCCAGACATCGTTTTATAAATTAATTTTTTTTTTTAAAAAAAAAGGGTATAAAACTCTGTCCGAGACAGCGTTTTACCCTGCAAGCTTTGTTTGGTAAATACTTTTGCCACGCAACCATTTTGCAAAATACTTTGCAAATGAAGCTTAGTTTGGGAAAACGTCCTATTTATTGTATCTGATATATCTCCAATAAATCTGGTTTTGCACGACCTAGGTATGTCTTTGACTGTTTTATTTTAAACTTTATAATTACGAATAAATTCATTATAAAATAATGATAGATTATTGAAATAAAGTAAATTTCAATATATTGAGTTATTGATTTTATCAATGAACCGTCAAATAGTCTATCTATTTTGGAACTAGTTTTATACAATTATAAATTTTCTTATTTGTTAAGTTTTTTTTTTCTTTTTTTTGAAACAATTATTTGTTAAGCATTTTAAATGCATGTAACATATTTTGAGCACCTAATAAAATTGAAAAACACACAAACCATCACCATAGTTCATAGCTGATTATGATGGCATCATCCTTTACGGAATGCAATAATGCACATTTATTATTTTCCTTATTCTCTCTGTTATTGCAACGCAAAATTTCTTAATCTTACCTACAAATCTTTATCAAATGTAAATAAATTAATTCATATATATAAATTTAATAATTAAAAAAACATATATATTAAATCATAAAAAATACATATAATTAATATGTCAATTCAATTGACCTTGGTTATAGCAGAAGCAAATGAGTACAAAATTTACAATGTATACTAGCTCATAAACTTGGAGATTAAGCAAACAACCAAACACAATATTACTTTAGAATAAACACAATTAGGAAACAAATTAAATAACTAGTTTCCTAAACTTATCAAACTACCAAAATATCAAATTAAAATATTATTTTCATATATACTCATTCTCTATTATCTGATCTCCAATAAAATGAATCACACATAAACAAAACTTTGATACAATTTGCAAAATCCACACATAAACCGAATCAATTATTTCCAAGAAACACATAATATTAAAACTAAAATTTAAAAAAAAAATAAATAAATAAATAAATAAATATGAAAATTACTACAACTCTGATCCATGCATGTATGCTAATTAAACTAAAATCATCCTCTTCATCTTCATCTTTTCGTAGTAACGGTAAAATCTTCCACAAAACTCGCCTAGGAGAAGCTTGCACAATTGCAACCTTAGTAACAATTCCACTTAATTCATGATCATTTCCCTCACAAAATTCCTTCCAACACTTTTAATTTCATCATGTGCCTTATGTCCATAATATTGCTTCCATGTTTGCTTAGCCACTTGAACAGCCGGCACCCACCCCTTCTCGTGGTAATTGCCCTTAACGTCGAAACCCTTTAAGGCCATCTCCGAGCAAAGACTTTCCTTATATCATTTACGTGCCCTATGTAATCGAGAACAAAAAAAAAACATGTAATTGTCATCCCCTTGATCAAACATAGTAGCTGTCTCCAAGTCAAGGGATACCGGGAGGACTAGTCCATGTACACGTGATGAGGTTTCGTTGTTGAAAAAATTGGTGACTACGGTGCAAAGATTGTGGGCTAGGTCACGGTCTTGGGTGCCACTAGGGTTTGATGTGGTGAACTGGTGAAGAGGGTGATGCTTGGACGTGAATGGATTTCGGGTTCGGTCATGGTTAGGAATTTTTGGGGTGTATGATGGTTAGGGTTGTAGTATTTATTTTAGAAGATTGGAATCAAGATCATCGTCAAAGTAGAGCTCTACTGCATATGTAACGTTTGAACTTGAACGTGGGGCGAATTGCATGATTATTTTGTAATTAATCAATAAAATGTACTTCTAATTAATTAATTAAGAAGTAATATTTATGAGAGGAGAGAAATTAAGGAAGAGAAATTTTGTTAAGGTTTGAATGATGTGAACCTTGCCTTTTCTAAGGGTTTAAACCGACAGCAAGTTATGATAAGATTATGGTAATTATAAAGTTTTATAAATGGTAATTATTTGATAAACTGAAATACAGTATTCAGAATTTCAGATTTAGTTTCCTAACCGACATTTAACTTAAAAAAAAAAAAGAGAAAAGGAAAAGTTAATTTTCACTTAAGACAAGGATTGGGCTTAACTCATGCACCCATTGTAAGGGTTTGGACTTACAATATAAAATACTAATGTGTTCTCTTCAGCTTATTGTAGCTACTTATCAAGTATTATTGTCAAAACTAGATTAAGTCAAAATTTGTGAATTAATTCTTATATGGTCCTTTGAAAAAAGAATTGTAAATGAAACACGTGTTTCGACAATTGTCTTTGTTGACAATTAATTTTTAAAATGCCCTAACCATCAATTTTCTTAGAAATCCCTTCAATATGTGTTAATACTGTATTAAATTAGGCTAGCCCTTAGAGCAATTTAGTTGATGATTAAACGAACACTAATCTCCTACAATCAGGTTAATATTGTATTAATAGCACCCAAGGTTATTTTATACTCATTTGATGATTAAATGAACAATAATCTCCTTTAATCATCAAGATTAGCAAAAAATACTCTTGAGTACACCGTGTACCCGAGTGTATATAACAACCTTTGCAATTTAGTAGTTTGGTGGAAACTGGAAAGAGAGTTTCCTAATTGGTTCACTTGATTTTCTATGTCACATTATCTTTATTACTTACTCTCAGTAATAATCTTAAGAAGCTGCTCAAATGACTTCTTAATTGTGGTCAAGTATCAGTATATAAACATACAATTGGAGCACAAAAGCGATAAATTATCTACCCTGCTTGCTCCTCAGATCAGTCACAAATATGTAATATGTCATAAAAACCAAAGTTATTTTCGTTTGTATTAATATTTATTATTATCTTATAAGGCTGAGGATGTATTAAGACTTCCAGCCATCAGACCATTCATCTTCATCCTTGACAGGTTTAGGAATATCATTATCCCAGGATAACTCTGGACCACTCTGTTGCGCCACAGGGGCATCAAGAGACCATCCACCAGACCATTCATCTTCGTTCTTGTCAGGTTTAGAAGAATCATTTTCCCAGGATAGCTCTGGACCATTCTGCTGCACCACAGGGGCTTCAAAAGTCCATCCATCAGACCATTCAGCTTCGTTCGTGATAGGTTTAGAAACCTCATTTTCCCAGTCTGCACCATTCTGCTGCACCACAGGGGCGTCAAGAGACCATCCATCCTCTGCCAGGAAGTTGTCGTTATTGCTTTGACTCTGAGGAACGGAATAGCCCTCAGAGGAGCTGTTGTCACGATTCTTTTGCTTTGCAGCATGAGACCATTCGTCCTGCTCTGGAATTTCATCATTGAATTCCTGTCGTTCTGGAAGGGAACAACCCTCGTAGGAATTATTTTCTACGCAACGCCACAGAAGCTTTGCCCAGTAAGGATCCTACCAAACACAAAACCATGCCTGACATTAATTACAGTAGCTTTTTAAGACAAACTGCATATATGATCATCCATTACTTTTCACTTCTAGTAGTAACACGCATCTTGAAAAAAGAAAAGAATGATATACTAATGTGCTTTAAGGTCAAAACACAAATAGAATGATAGAGTACAACACAAACACAAGTGAAGTTAGTTTGGACCATACCTTACAGATTATATGGGGGTTCCCTATAATGACAAGCAAAGATCTGGCTCGAGTGATGGCAACATTAAATCTTTTTGGATTGCTTAGAAATCCTAAATAATGGACTCTGTCAAATTCATCATGTTTAACAGTTGATCGGACAGTGGATATAATAATTACTTCTCTCTCCTGTCCTTGAAACTGCTCAACACTGCCAATCTTGACATCAAGAATCCCACTATTTTCAAGAACCGTTTTAATTTTGGCTACTTGCTGCCTGTAAGGTGTAATCACTCCGATATCCTCTTCAGCGACATCCTTATCAATGAGCTTCTTGATAAGCTTAACTACCATGCTAGCCTCAGTGCGGTTAAACCATGAGGGATTATCTCCTTCCCTCTCATCATAAGCGTGGACGCCGGTAAAAAGAATGGGAAATTCCTTGTTTAGAAGAAGATCCTCCCAAAGTGTAGACTTTGTGGTTTTATAACATGCCATCAATTCCCCATTATAAAATAATTGTGAAGGCAGATGGAGGATTTCAGGGTGGGATCGGTAATTACGCCGAAGTGTTGTCACATAACCTTCATCCCCTTCACTATAGAGATCATATTCAAACAGCCTTTCCAAATATGATTTTCCTAATCCATGTCTCATTGCATCTTGGGAGAAAATGACAGGGCCTAGCTGCATTGGATCTCCGGCAAGAACAACCACAGTGTCCTTTTGGCAGAGGGTGGAAATGGAAACGAGGGTCTCTGGTTCTGAGGCCTGTCCTGCCTCATCCAAAATAATGTGAGAAAAATGGCCCTGTTTAACGCCTTCTGTATGAAGGAGGACGGAACTCATATATGTTGTTATAATAACTCTATAGTGCAACAATGCCTGAAGCGGAGGACACCGGAAAACAGATTCCTCAAAATAACAAAATTGCATACATTCAGGCTTCATATCTTCAACTGAACGACTACTTGCATTGAGCCTGAATATTTCATTTTCCCGAATTTTAATGTTCTTTTCTTTCAGAATTTTGTCCAGTATATGGTCTGCAGCGCAGTTTGAAGCAGCACATATTAAAATCCGGGAACTTTTGCGGGTTTTGTAAAGTTGGAGGATCACTTCTACTAGCGTCATCGTTTTACCAGTACCTGGTGGCCCATTAATCATATAAGGTACTCCCCCTTGGCATCCTAGAACCATTTCAACAGCATTCAGTTGTTCTTCATTGAGATTACTGGATATGGGCACCATTGGGGTTGGTGTAATCTGCCTCTTCGCTAACGACTCTGATGGAAAGAGGAAGGCTTTATGTACCTTTTCTGCACCTTCAATGGCTTGATACAATCTTCTCATGTTGACACGGTTGTACATGAATCGGATGTTATAAAAATTATGATCACTGTGACGCTTGTGGAACTCATCAGCAAATCTCAGATATACATGATCAGCCTCTACACGGTGTATATAACCCTGACCAACGGCAGACTCAAAGATTAATAACTTGATAACAAGTCACAATCTAATAGATTTGAAATTAGTGATTTAAATAATACCAAAACAAGTTAAGAGCCAATCAGTTTTCAAAGTCAAGTTTGTAGGTAATAGTTTGGTGAATCAACCTTAAACATATCATTGATATCAATGATATCCAAAGCATGCAGCATGCAATTTTTATAACCAATCTATCATTCTGAACCGAGCTTTGTTAAACTGAATAAAAACAATATTTTTTTACAAGGTGTAACTGAGTGTCTAACCTTAGGTACAATCAGTCAAGCATGCAATCAAATAATCATTCACAAAGGTCTTGACATCTTGTAGCATCTTTGAATGCCTAATTAGAAAAGATAAAAAGGTTACCTACAGGGGCGCAGCCAGAATTGGCTGATGTGCATACATACATAAAACTGAAAAAGGTTTTATCAAGCAAAGCAATGGGTTAAAGAATAGCAGAATTGTTAGCAGTAGGCCTTAAAGTCAGATATCCTGTGTGGCTTAAGGTCTTATGTAGTAGACCTAACCATTGAGCCAGCTTTTTACATTTATGTTGCAAACCGAGTTTAATATACTTATGTTTCAGTGGGGGAGGGGAGGGGGGCACAGAGCTGAGCTGAATTGGCCAGGCCTCCACCAGGCCAACATACATAGACAGGACTGACAGTTGGAATATTAGCTGTCCACAATACAGCAGTGTTGCACACTACCATATTTGTTGTTAGATAAAAGTAGTTTTCAATTTCATGAAATATTTACTTTAAAGTTTAAACCACACCAGAGTTACTAAAAAATCAAGAACTCCAAACTCTAGGGTTACACGTTTGCATTCGAATAGAGATACTTTAACTAGTGATAAATCACTTTCTTGTGTATGCATTTACCTCATAAGTACGTTGGTCATCAGCATCTGTAGAAGTAAGTCTGGCAAAGACAGAATCTCCATGCACTAATGAAGGTCGTCTTTCAGCCAAGCCTAGGACCTCCAGAGTCAAGAACAGACGACCCTTGCTTCTCATAGTGACATTCTCCATGTCATAAGCTTTAATATCATGCTAAAGAAAAATATACACATCCAAATTAGTTAAGCGGGTAAATGAGAATAGATGCAATCAGTATCAATGCCAAATCACATCAGCAAGATAAGATGGATTTATAATCACCTCCAAGCGCAACTCTTCCATAATAAGAAGTGTTCTAAAGAAAGGTACATAGTTCTTCCTTGATAGGCCTTCGATGATAGCATCGGGTACCTGCTTATTCTCTATAACTTCTCTGATTTCTTTTGGTATCTCATAAATTGGAAGCTTATTGCGAAAACCACGGTAGTTTGGCCTTGCAGGACGTACGCCTTCAACATATGAATCGATAACAAAATTTGTCTTTTTCCTTGCTCTTTGATATGGTTTCTTTGAAGCTAAAGCTTTGGAGACACTATCTTCTGCCAAGAGAAAGACCACACGCTCAATCCTATCATTTCCAACATCAAAGTGGACAATGCATGTGTACATCCCGATATCTGCAGGCTTGCAAGATAGCCATACTGTCAATGTTTTAAGCGGCTGCAGGATTCGGTCTTCCAAAGAGGAGGAGCCCAAAAACCCTGGTTTGGAAGGCTCCATCAACGACAATGTAAATGAATCTTCAGGGTTTGAAGCATATATCTGGATCCCCCAAAGTTCCACAGGATCTCTAGTAGAATTTTTTATGGTAATTGAATCAGCAGCAACCTCACCGACAGAAATTGATTGAGGCTTATGCTCAATGGATGGAAATGGCACAGAAATGACAACCGGACCCTCTTCACTTGGATCATAACTAAAAACAGACTTATCATCCTCAAAGTCAATGAATCCAATCTCCCCTTTGTCTCCAATGACAGAATATTCATCATCTGATTTGTCACCATAGACACTCATTGCCAGAGATCAATATAATACAAAGACCAATGTAAAAAAAATAAAAATTCAAAGCTACTATGATGCAATGTTTACTCCACTTTCCCAAGATTGTTGCATCAAGTTTGCAGCAAACCAAACAAGAAGGGTCAAACCTACCACCAAAATAGACAGAGTACTCATAAGATCAAAAAGAAAATTAGGCTTAATAAAACAAAGATTGTTTGTATTGGACACATTAGCTTTACAAAAAGCAACTACTATGACAATCAGCAAGAAATCCAAAGATACAGCCAAATTGATATTACTTTGTCGATATTGAGGTACTGTTCAATACGGAATCCAACATCAAGAATTATGTCCACAAAGGCAATATAAACCTAACAACGTAAATGCTTTATGCTACACTAAGTACAGATGGCCGTTTGGTAGCCAGTAATAAATGGTGGTGATGGCAATGAATTTCAACTTTTTATGTGTAAATTGGGAAGGAGATTAACATTGTAATCTCTATTGTAATGCAATTTCATCCTCAAGCATGTGTTTTCTTCATGTTTAAACATTAATATCCACTATCACTTGGGAGAAGGTATTAAGTGGGAATGAAAATTTCTAAAGGAAAAGTGATCAATTTGAGGTGAGCTAGGAATACCATGGGAATGAACCTTGATTTTCCTCACATATTTACATACAAATTCATTCTTATTACTATCATTTATGGCCACTTACTAAATAGGCCGGAAAAGTAATCTACACATGGGAAGAAATCAAGCATCTTTTTATTCAAGATTAATCAATCCAGTTCTTCAATGCGTGTGATTCCAAACTAAACTAAGCATTAATTGACAATTTATTCTACCATTAAATGTTTTAAAATGAAAAATAATAACATCGAAATTTTTACACCAAATAAATAAATAAATAAAAAATTTCGACAATATCTGAGTAATGGGTAGTGGAAAATAGCAGACCGCAGACAAGACTTATTATCAACAGCAAAGTAAGAATTAAAGCTCATTTGACAGGGAAACAATAAAAAATATTTAGCAACTCATATAATACAGGAAATAAAATGATGTCCATAGTAATACAATGATAACAAAGGCACTTGAACAAGCACAAAGCAATGCTAATGCTTGAAATATAATCTGATCATTATAAATTTCACAACAACATTATCAAAATCTATTCTTTAGCAAAAACCATTATATATACCAGTGAAATCTGGACAAACAGAAACTATTCCAGACCATTTACATGGCATGAAACACCTCTATCAACACACACTGACACACACAATGAAATAAGCAAACAGCCTTAAAAAGGAACCCCGATGACTGCAGATGATCTTACTAAATTCTCCAAGAGGACCTAGTTGATGCCAAACATTCAACAAATGCTTCATATCAATATTACAAAGGGTAAAGCTCAACAAGCAAAAGTTACTCGGGAGAGGTATTAGGCCAATTTCTTCTAAAACCTCACCCATTTTCAATATTAGGCCCCGGAATTAGTTGTCACAATGATAGCGTATGTCAAACTACAAACGTGATAACCAAATCTCAACGAAGGTCGTAGTTGAGAACGATCAGAAGGCAGGCCGAGGGCGGGCTGTTTCAAAAGGAAGCCACTGACACTACCACTGCCTCTGCCTCTGCCAGACACCTCTAACAACACCACATGGAAAAAAGATCATCTAATTCAACAATCCAATCAACCCATTCCCCCAAAATGTCACCTTTTGATACCCCAAATCAAATATATACGCAATTATACAAACAAAACAAAACAAACCCAATTCTCACAAAATTATAACAAAACAACTAGTCCAAAATAATCAACAATAATTCCAAGAAAATCAAAACCCAGAATCAAAAATCATTACGTATAATTGTAAGCGTATTAAAGCAAAGCAAAAGAACAGATAATTATAGATAACAGAGAATATTATATGGTCACAATGTGAGTGAAATTAGGGATTTTCAACCACAAAAATGAAAGATTACCTTTTTATGTGGGAAATTTCCCAGAAAGTCGAAGAACTGCGGAAGTTGCGGGCTGACGGCGGGCCGAACTCCGCCGGTAATGGGTGATCGGAGAAGTGAGTGAGTTGCAGTTTTTTATTTCTCTGCTTTTGTTGAGTGCTTTGGTCCAGCAAAACTTATTCGATTTCTCAAGTTAGTACTCCGTACTGGTAAAAAAAGAACATTTAAAAAGTGTATACCGATATATTTTCTCCGTATCTCAATATATGTACTTACGAGTAATATAAACTACGGAGTACGAATATATAGCCTTTTTTTGAATAAAAAAAACTTCGCATTTAGCCTTTTTTATTCATGTAAGCTATGGGTTGTTTATGATTTGTACATCTTTTGATAAATGAAGAGTTTGAAAGGAAAATGAAAGGACTCAGCATTGAATGAGTAGTGAAAAAAAGTCGGGAGGATATGAAATAAATACTCATAATATAAAATACGTCGTACAATAGTCATTTTTTTTAAGCAACGTGGTACACTAGTCTTAATTAATACAAGTATTTCGTATTTTAATGTGTACTTGATTATTCTGTACCTCATTTCCAAAAAAAATCTTTAAAATAAATTATGATTTATGAATTATGAATTATGATCATCATTGAATATATTTGTTACAAGATGGTCTTATAGAATATGAAATGAACAACAGTAGATATAATGGTTTTATTTATTTCGTTCATTTCCTAATATATGTATGGAGTACTTAACAATTATTGCACTTGATGTTTCATTCCTACTTTTTAAAAAGCTTGATATACGGAATAATTAACAGTATTTGAACAATTATACCTTTAAAGTACTTGTTTATTATCGGCAACTTTTTGGTGCAGTAGGCCACACCATGCGACAGGGGTTACTCGAGTTTTTTTGTTAGAGGTTACCCGAGTTTTTTTGTTAGGGGTTACTCGAGTTTTTTTGTTATGGGTTACCCGAGTTATTCAGACAGGAGTTACTCGAGTTATTCGGTCAAGGGTTACTTGAGGGGTTATTTAAGGAGTTCGGTCAGGGGTTATTCGGTCATGGGTTACTTGAGGGTTCAGTCAGAAGTTATTACTTGAGGGGTTACTCAGTTGTGGGTTACTTGAGGGGTTCGGTCATGAATTACTCGAGGGCTTACTCGGTCAGGGGTTACTTAAGGGGTTACTCAGTCAAGAGTAACTTGAGTAACCCCTGAACGAGTAACTCGAGTAACCCCTGACCGAGAAATTCGAGTAACCTTGAAAACTCGAGTAACCCCAGCAACTCAAGTAACTCTTGACCGAGAAACTCGAGTAACCTCTGATCGAGAAACTCGAGTAAACTCGACAACTCGAGTAACCCCTAACCGGAGAAACTCAAGTAACCCCTGCCGCACGGTACAGCTGGCCGCATACAAAAAAAATTTGATTTATTATAATTGTCACTTTTTGAACTTGTAAAACATATGACGGTATGAGAATGACTAAATAAGACTTTAAAAAGAAAGTCGTAACCTTAAATTGTCATTTTCTCTCTCTAACCCCCATCCCTATCCTCCACCGCCCCCCGTTTTCTAAGCCCATACTCGCCGGCGACTAGCGCGCTTCGCCTAGCCGTCGCCGGCGAGCCCAATCTCTCCGTTATTTTCCTTTCCTGCTATATAATTTTTTCGTTTTTGGGTCTGTTGGTGAAGAATTCAGGGGTCCTCTTCAGTGGTTCCGTTTAATTGGGTTCATCGTCAAGTGGTTTGCGGCTTGCTTCAAAAAATCAAGAACCAAAGGCTAGTCTTAACGCCGCCGTCGAAAGGAATTTCGTTAATTAATTCCCGACGATAAAGGTGAAGTTAAGGTTAGGATTTCCTCGCGTATCCAAGTTTAAGTTTAGTGAGGGGTTCTTTTCCGTTGCCGATGACGATTGTTCTTGGTGTTGGGTTGGGTTTCTTCCGGTGAGGTTTTATCAGGTTTCGTTGCCTTTTCCTCTGTTCTCACGCAAGTTTGTGTGGTTGTTTTCTTTTAGTTGTTGTTATTGGTTTTGCTTTAGTTCATTTATGTTGTTCTTGTATAAGTTGCTTGATTTGTTGCTTGGGTTGTTGTTTTTAAATAATTCTCTTTCTCTGCTTGGTCATGAGTTAGAGTCCCATAGAGTGGTTCTAGTTTTGGAAGTTAACGAAGTGTTGACATGGTCTTTTGAGCATGGTTGGTTGGTTTTAAGGGTTGTAAGTTTAATTTAGGCAATCCCTTATTAGTTGGGTTGGTGGTCCTACTAGTAGCCTTGTCGGGGTGTGAATGTGTTCCCTTGGTAGTTAAAACAGTTCTCCAGGGGGTGAAGTTATTTGCGTAGGTGGATGGTTTTCCCTACATATGGAGTTTGCAGGAGGAGTGTGGTTTTGAAGGAAGAGTTTGGTTTGCAGGTCTTGTTGCTAGGTTGTGGGATGATATGGGCATTCAGGCAATTGCTATCATCTCCTTGTTAGTTTGGGTGATGACAAGGTTAGTCATCGCTGTTAATCAATATCTTGAAGGAGGTTACCCATCTTTTATGTTTCGGTCTGCTATTTTTTTTTATTTCTGAAGTCCTAACTTGCAAGTTGCAAGAGAAAGATTATGGCACTGTCATAATTTTCACAAATTAGTGAGCGAGTGAAAGATTGAAGAAGGAGAATTACTCAGAAATAGTATTATGAATTATTTTATGAATTGCAGAGCTTGTTCTTCTGGTTATGGTGTTGCAGCTTCTGCTTCTTTTGCCTTCTTCAATGGCGCCAAAGGTAATAGCGACTTTTACACCCTTCTTCGTTTTCCTCTTTATTCCTTCGTAAATTTGCGGCATTATTTCCCCGATCATACACCTGCTAATACTTTAATTGATTTTGATAATGATCGTGAATTGTTTCTTCAATTTGTTAGAGAACAATGCAAATTAGGGTTTTCTGATGTCAAATTTCCCCTTTCTCTCTTCAATCAGATGATAACTTTACGCCCTCTTCCTTCTGTCATTGATTTCAATCAGCTTTTATCTGCAATTGTCAAATTGAAGCGCTTAAGACCACATTCCACCATTATTTCTCTGTATAGGAAGCTTAAATTGTATGGTATTCGACTCGATATGAATTCTATTGGTATTCTTGCCAATTGCTACTGTCATTTGGGTCGTATCGATTTCGGGTTTTCTCTCTTGGGTAAATTACTTAAGCTTGGCTATCCCATTGATTGTGTCATCTTTAGTACCTTCATCAATGGCTATATCCAGTGTAATAAGCTACCCCAAGCCGCTCATTTGTTGAATAAAATTGTCAAGCTTGGTTTCCAACCCAACATAGTTAACTATAGCACTGTTGTCAAAGGGCTTTGTAGGATTGGCGACAATGCGTCTGCTCTCAATTTTCTTAGAAAAATGCAATCTGGATGACGCTATAAACCTGACATTGTTATATACAACACTATTATCGATAGTCTTTGTAAGGACGGGCTGTTAGAATAGGCCCTTCACCTTTTCTCCTCTATGAAAACTGACGGCATTAAACCCAATGTTGTCACTTATACTTCCTTGATTCGAGGCCTCTACAATTCCGGCTGAGGTGAAGAGGTTCAGCGTGTGTTGACTGAGATGTTAGAGAGCAACATAAAACCAGATGTCCAGACCTACAGCATGCTGGTTGACATGTTTTGTAAAGATGGGTGTGTTGATCAAGCGCTGTCCATACTAAAGCACATGATTGAGAAAGGTGTGGCTCCAAAAATCCTTATAATGCATTACTTGATGGTCATTGTTTGCGTGGTCAGATGGAAGATGCAGAGAACCTACTTGATCTCATAGCTGAAAATGTTTGTGGGCCTAATCTTGTTAGTTTTAATACTATGATTAATGGATATTGCAAGGCTAAAAACATTGACAAGGTCTTACCATATTCTATGAGATGTTTCGGAAAGGGATAACCCCTGATGTTGTTTGCTATAACACTCTTATTGATGGACTGTGCAAAGCCAATAGACTCTCACTTGTCCATAAGCTATTCAGGGAAATGCGGGCTCATGGAATTGCTCCAGTTGTCATCACCTATGCTTCCTTGCTTGACTACCTTTACAAAACTGCACGGCTTGATGAGGCGGTGATTGCTTGAAGAAATGGAGAAAAATGGTGTTAAGCCAAATGATTCCATCTACAATATCCTGATCAACAGCTTGTGTAAGGCTGGACAACTTGAAGATGCGGAAAATTTCTTCTCTAATCTCCTTTCAAAGGGTCTGCAACCTGATATTAGAACGTACAATATAATGATCAAAGGCTTCTGCAAGAAAGGGCTCATGAGTGAAGTTGGTCAAGTGTTGAGGATAATGGAGGAAGATGGTTGTCCCCCTGATGATCGAACCTATAATATTATTATCAGAGGATATATTCTCAATAATGACTTGTCAAAAGCATTTTACTATTGTGATATTATGACTAGCAAGAAATTTGAAGCTGATGCAGACACTTTTTCATTATTTGTCGACCTCTTGTCTTCTGGTAACTTAAGTGATTCGTCAAAGGACTTGCTTCGGAAGTTTATCAGTTGAATTGTTGTTCAGATGATTGCAGGCTTGCAAAGATTCATACTCATAATATGTTCTATGGTTCATTGATGGTTTTTGGTGTTTCTTTCCCACTTTTTATCGATATCGTTCTGTTTGCAGATTGTCACTTCTGCTCTGTAATAGTTGAACACAGTTATATAATTAAAGTTTGGAACTCTTATATATTCCCTAAAGTGGAGAATAATCTTAATTTCAATGACATCTCAATCCATTAATGTTTATCATTAAACAAACCTAGCAACAAATTTCTTTTACCATTCGTAAGGATGTATTAGGTTGACCCTTTAAACTACTGTATCAAGCTTAACCTAATTTTTTTTTCCTACTATAACTAAAAACAGTTATAGTTTTATACATGACAAAATCATGCTACTCGTATAAAATATGTACTACATTTTTAATCTTATGAGGAAGACCTCCTAGTACAGTCTCCCAGGGGTCGCCTTGCATCCTTGGAGTGCAAGGTTCAAGCCTCACCATGAACAAATCACCTCCCCTTACCCCTCGACATTGCTAGTCAAGTGTCCTGTGATAGGAGCTTTCTGCCCAATTAAGCATCTAACCTTACCGTTTTTTTTAAAAAAATCTTAATCTTAGTAAATGTCGTCCTAAAAGCTTCATTTAGCATTGGAAAAATTGGTAAAAATAATTCCAATTTTTGCCCGTTCGCTCAAAATAATCCCAAGAACTTTGGTGGTCATTCTCTTAAAATGGTCCCAAGTGACCGGTAACCTGTTGATTATAAAAAAAAAGTGACTGGTAACCTGTTAAAGAGGTATTTCTTTTTTGGATTTAAATGACACGTGTCACCATATGATTTGTTGAAATATTAAAATAAATATAAAAAAGGAAAACTTAAAAAAAAAAAAACCAGCCCCACCCACGCAACCCCAACTACCACCCACGTTTTTGGCATTCCTCCCACCCAGCCTAGCCAGCCTAGTCCCCCCACCCCCACCCGACGCCGCACCCAAATTCCCTTCCCCATGCTGCCGAGGACGCCCTCTCCCCTACCTCCGATTGTCCCTAAACCACCACCGCAAAACCCCCGTCCCGATATCTCATTAAAAACCCCCTCCCCCACCGTATAAACCCCAGCTGCCACTCCCCCACCCTTGAAACTCCTAGTCGTTAGGGTTCCGAGGGTCGGGGAGCAGCGACTGGGGCGGAGGGTTTTTTTTTTTAAGATTTCGGGGTGGGGATTGGGGTTTTGCGGTGGTGGTTTAGGGGGAAGGATTGACGAGGCGACGAACGGGGGTAGGGGGAAGAGCGTCGCCGGCGTGGGGAGGGGGGTCTGTTGTGGCGGGGGTGGTGAGATGGAGAAAGGGCCGATGGGTGGTGGCAGGGAGGGTGGTTGGTGGCTGGGGTTGTCTTTTTTTTTTTTAATTAGTTTCTTAAGGGTTTTTTTTTTCAACTAATCACGTGGTGACACGTGTCACCTAAACCTGTTATAACAGGTTGGGTAATCGGTTGGGACCATTTTGAGCGAATGACCTCCAAATTTCGGATTATTTAAAAATAATCCAAAGTTGGGATTATTTTGAGTAAACGAATAAAAGTTGGATTATTTTTACCAATTTATCCTTTATCATTTTCCATTAAATATCCTTTGCGATTATTAAGACTTTGGAGATGCTATTGAAGTTGGACTGTTGGACGCTTCCACCTTCCAATTATTTCCCATCGCAAAGAGATGATGCAGGAAGAACCCAACAAAGACGACGAAGAAGGACCCAGTTCCTCTACCTCCAACCCGAACCCGAATCCGAATCCATGTCCCATCTGCCTCGGACTCATTACTCAAGACTCCTATTTGGATCGCTGCTTCCGTATGCTTTTTCTCTCTTTCTCAAATTCTGCATAATTTCGTCGGGTTTAATTACCGGCAAATTTCAATCAATTATTTTGCAAAAAAAATCTATTTTTTATTCAATTGAATTTGTTATGCTTAATGGGTAATTAAGTTAAGCTAATGGGTATTAATTTATTTGCGAATTTGCAGACAAATTTTGTTACAATTGCATAATTCGTTGGACTCAAGTAGTTTCAAGCAGGTCTTCTTCATTTCGCCAACCATCCTCCATTAAGTGCCCTTTATGCAAGGTCCTTATTCACCTTCTTTATTAAAATTCTTCTTTGATTAGTTTTTATTTCTTTGATAAAGAAGGAAAATTATTTAATTGAGTAATTCTGCACTGAAGATCAACCCAATCACTGTAGAAACCTGTTCGGGTTCGAATCGATGAATAGAAGTTCATGGCTACTTTGATGTTGAGTTGCTTGTAATCAGTTACATGACGTACATTGAGCGACATTTTGGGATACTTTGGGATTCTATTTTTAAATTTTGGGGCTGCTACGTTTTGTGGGTGTTAGTGTTTTTTTTGGGGTTTTATTCTATTAGAAGGTTGTGATATAGCGGTGGTGATTGTTAGTTTGTTGCGAAGAATAGTATGAGTTTATCTCAGGTTTTACTTTCCATATTGAATGCGAGTATATGTTACTTCCTCCATCCCACTGAATAGGACACATTTGGTTAGAGGTCATTTTTGAGGAATTTTATTGAAATGGTTCCTGATATTATGTACTTACAATTATTGAGGATAGACATCTTATTATGATAGCATAGATCAAATCATAAAAAAAGAGTAGTAATATGGGAAAATATACAAAGTATACTTTACTTGCCTTCTTTTTGGGAGTTGGAACATCCCTTAATAGAAATTTGGCTTGTATAAGTGGGATGAAGGGAATACTAAATACCCCTTAAAACATAGTTGGTGCAATACACTTGTATCAACAACAAGATTGACAACAATTTATGTGTAAAGAGTGATGAGTGAGTTGGTTTACATACCAATTACAAACTATTTGGTTCTGATACAAGAACAGTAAGTTTGGATCCCACCATTGATGAGATCTAGGGAGGTCGAGTTGTATAAAACCTGAGTTCCTGATCGGTAACCTGTCCAGTGTCCAATGTCCATGTCAGCAGGACACCAATACTGAATGACCTGTGTGAAGATGTTTTTGATAATGGCAATTAGTAATAGAAGTTGTGGAATGGAGTCTCTTATATGATTTCCACTCCTATTTTATGTGTTTCAGGGAACACTTCTTACAAAGAGTTTATCATAATGGTGTGCTCTGAAGTTGTCATATAACTCATATGGTTTTATAATTTGACTCTAGACATTTAAGTGATATTTGTGTAATCTGCACCTATTATTTCATTAGTCAGTCTTTACTAAATTTTCAGTTCTGCTGATCATTTTTAATTTATTAATTTTACAGACCGAAAATATTTCTATCATCTATGGATATGATGGAAGTACATTTCAACGGCATTATATTGACCAAAATAATGGTAATAGGTATTTGAGACAGGTTGCATTATATTGGATTGCTAATGTATCTGACACTTTGAAAGAAGCTATATGCTATTCATCTTAATTTATTCTAGTTCCTCGATGCCTATGCAGTGCCTTCTTTTCAAAGGATCACAAGTATAGACTACAGTGTTACTACACCGAACCAGAATCAGGTCTTTTAAGTGATGCATTTAAAGTGGAGCGCTATTGGAAGTCACACAAGTATCTTCAGCCCAATAGCTGGCTTGAAAAATGGTTGAAAAGGGAGTTACAAGCTCTGACACAGGTAGCCTCACTTTCTATTTCTTATTCATTGGTTCCTAGTTGTGCTGGAATCTGAATATAATTAGTATTTTCTTGTTTATTTTCTATCTCTGAACATTACAAGGAAAATTAAAAAAATACAAGTAATTATGTCACGTGTAAGTTTTAACTCAAGTTTCCTGTTTTTTATTTTTCTTTTTTCTGTGCTGTTGTAAATACTATCTGTGAACTTGCATGAAGCTATAAGCTATCCAATTGGCAATTTTTTTGTAGGAAGAGGATGTTGAAATCATAATGCATCACATACTCGGGGTGATTCAGTCATTTTCAAGAAGGTAACCTTCAGCAATCTTTGATAATTTTCTTATAAGCTGATCATGGTGCATATTTCAGATTTATTGGCTTATTGCTAAGATACTACTGCATAGATTAGTTAATGTAGTTTTGCCATTACCATGCATATGTTCAGCTATCACCCCAAAGGAAAAACACATTCCCCGCATCAAAGCAAGAAGAACTTAGGATATTGGTTGCTGATGCTGCAATGCCTTTCCTTACGGCTAGAACTAAGCGGTTTGTAAATGAACTGGAGTTATTTCTCGCCTCAGGTCTAACTGTTCAGGCCTATGATAGAGCTTATCGAAAGTGTTTAGGTTGGAAGAAGCCTGAGGAAACCACGGAGGATGATGAACAAACTAGCATGGAGCGTGAGCAAATAGCTCCATACCTATATTTTTTTGATGATAATCAATGATAGCACCGATCTATTCTATGTAACTCGGACCAGTTTTCTTGCTTTTATGTGATGCAAAAATACTTGTCAGCTTCTTGTACAACTAGATTAATTCATTCAAGCTTTTGTGCAGTTTAATTGGTTAGTTTGTATTATTGTATGATTATATGATGATGAACTTTGGGTTTTCGCCCACATGATTATATAGTTGATGGTTATCTTTTGCTTCCAAACTCTGCATTTTGTGTACTTGATGCAAATTGTTCAGTGTAGAAACTATGTAATATCAGCCTTTGAGGTTTTGATTACTTTGGCCATTCTTCCTGCTTTGCCTTCCGCTCATCATCCGTTTCTCTTTCCTTAGAAGTAGTTTACGAGTATTACTCTGTAATCCGTAGTATTACTCTGTAATCCTACCACAATATTCGGGCTTACCAGATACAAGTACTATGCAATTTGGATGTTAAACAAAGTATATACATACCATCCAAGATGCGTATTTACCATCGAAGATGCATATGTAGTCTGTATTACTGTATATCTGATGTGGAAAATTTGTTTGGTTTTAGTTATTGTACTAATTGAAATTACACTAAACATGACTATTAATTATGAATGAATGAGCATGTCCTACTTATATGTCTCGTGTCATCAATTCTTATACTCCTTAGTTTGCATTCTAGAAAGATATCTTATCATCTTAGTGATTGTTTGGTTGAACATAGAAAGTATTGTAAAATTTTCTAAGTTTGACAATATAATTTCATTTCCTAGAACGTATCGTACATACATGCTTTGTTTTTTGTTTTTTTTTTTAATACTTTTTTCCCCTTTTGATTGGAGATCCTCATTACTTGTTTGTACACATAAAATAAATGTCTTTTAGATGAGTGCATGTTTGAAATCCCATAAATAACTCACGTATGGCTGTATGGCTATATGAGTGCAAGCGCTAATAAACCACTTTATAATTTATAAATAAAGGATGAACTCCTATAAGGTTACTAACTGGTTTATAAGTGATGTAATTGTCTTTCTCTAACACCTTTTATATACACCTGAATGCAAATAGAGGTAATCACATGTACACCCACAGGTATATATAAACTTTTTTTTACTTTCTCAAGCTTTCAATAACTAATAGGCGCGGCGGCACGACCGATATTCATTTAAGATTTAACCATACAAGTGGCGGACTTGAGCTCGACCTGCCTATCTCAATTGCGAAGTACATAAGTGCACATAATCTACACAATCTTTCTGATTCTTCCACTGATTCATACGAGTATATCCTTTTGTGGTACATCACTACATCAGCCAATTTGACTTGATTGCCTGAGTGCACTATCCAGTTCTTCCCAGAAAGAGAGCGAGAAAGATGGAGTCTGACAATGGAGCTTTCATGGAAAAGTTCACACTACCTCCATCTTCTTCTTCTGGGGACCTTCCTTTATCTGGTCTCACTTTTGCTGTTAAAGATATGTCAGTAAACTTCAATTTCAATCCTCTATCCTCCTATTTTTTTGATGATTAATTTCTTTTTACCCATGTTCAATTTGATTACTGAAAATTTTGGTCTTTGTTTCATAAATTTATATCAATTCCATCTGATGATTTTAATTGCAATTCATTAAAGACTATGTTTGTTGTAACTTGTGAATTTGCAATTGTAAGTTCCCATTTGTTAATTTTCTTGGAATCAAACCCAATTTTTTTAATGTGCCCAAAAGTTGAGCACATTTGATTGTATAAAATGTTTGTTGTTTGCTACCATTTTCAATTTATAGCTTAATTTAAGATAAAGTTTATGTTTTGGAAGGGCAGATTTGATATGGAAGGGTTAGTAACTGGGTTTGGGAATCCTGATTGGGCAAGAACTCATACAAAAGCCAATTCCACTGCTCCTGCTGTTTTGGCTCTTTTAAGGGCTGGTGCTACTTGTGTTGGTAAAACAATCATGGATGAAATGGCTTACAGGTTAGTTTTTTTCGATTTTTGAGTCGCGATGATTATAATCTATCTGATCAAGCAAATGGTTTTTTATATGTAATTCATTGTGAGGTTGTATATGTTAACAGCATTTGATTAAACTGATTTAAGAAAGCCTAGTATGTGGAATTATTTCAATTGGATATACTTTAGAAGAGAACTTTTCCCTAATTCTTGGCTTATGTGATTGTTAAATGTCTTTCCTGTGAACATGTATGGTTGAATATAGATTTTCCGGTCTGTCTGTTGTTTAATTGAATCATTGGCTAGTGGATTGTATTCTCTCTGATGAAGTGTGATGGTATAACAAATTTATTTGCAATCATCCTGGTTACGTAAAGAGCTGAACTTTCAGCAGAATTCAAACTTGAGCTAATTATTTACAATGAGCATGCCACCGGAAAACTCATTACTGCCATGATAGTTTACGGTTTTGTCCATAAGCCAAAGAAATCATTCTCGAACATTTTGGGAGCCTTTTGGGGCTAAAATTTCGGAAATGGTTTGCATTCTTTCCATTCTGAAAAAGTATGCCACTTTTCCTAAAAACTTGTAAAAACAGGCCTTGCAGTTCTAGTATAATCCTAACTGAATAATTTTCATTTTATGCAATCAATCTTTGTCCACTGGTTCTTTGGTGCTTTTCAAGTCATAACTTGATGATACTTGTAGGATTCATTTCTTTTTCAAGTCATAACTTGATGATACTTTTGGGATTCATTTCTTTCATTTATTCAAATGAGATTCATTTGAGATGGATATTATCTTTGACTGCAATAGAGTATAGCAATGTAATGAACCGACTTAGGGGAGGGGTATTATGTGTAGTTTAGTATGTTAGTTATCAAATGTAGTACATAAGGGAAAATATGCAATGAAGTAGGAGATGCCACCTGTGCACATGAGACAAATGCTCAGTCTAGAATCATCCTAGGGATGGAGAATGTAAATATAAAAATGGAAGAGAGATTGTGAGGAGGGAGGCAGAAATTTGTGTTCAAGGGAAACCTTAGAGAGTCATGGCCTCAAGCCAATGATAGAGAGTAATAGCCTCAAGCTATTTTGGAAGTGATAGCCTCAAGCTATTAATTTATCTTGTGTAAACCTTGCCATTTTCAATCAATATTCAACCTTTAAACTTTATTTACTTGCATTGTCAATTCTGAAATATTAAGATAGAAAATCAGTTCATTACAAGCGATCCCATAAATACATGTGTATGCAAAGGCATTATACAGTCCATGGAAATTAAGTATAGCGATCCCATAAATACATGTGTATGCAAAGCAATTATACAGTCCATGTACATTTACCTTTTAATGGACGTTTAGTGTCAGAGCCTCAAAGATCCTATGATGAGTTTCAATAGCCTGCCTTCTTTCCTTTATCATTATCTACAAGATATATATGATTAAATGCTAAACAATTCATTGCCAATTTCCTTGACAGCATAAATGGAGAAAACATACATTATGGTACCCCTAAGAACCCATGTGCAGCAGATCGTATTCCTGGAGGATCTTCTAGTGGTTCTGCTGTTGCAGTTGGTGCAAACATTGTAGATCTTTCTTTGGGTTTGTCAAAGTTCTCTTTTCAAAATAATACAATTGCCTTTTAAAAGTGCTATGACTTATTACAAGTCGGTGACCATTAATCTGTAATTCTTTCACCTCTTTAGGTACTGACACTGGAGGAAGTGTAAGAGTCCCAGCAGCATTCTGTAAAATCTATGGAATTCGGCCTTCACATGGGGTTGTCTCTGTTGATGGTGTTGTTCCTATGGCACAGAGTTTTGATACAGTTGGTAAAGACTCGATTATGTGATAAGTCATGCAAAATGCAATTTGCACTATAGACTCTTGAAAGGAAAGGTTTAATAATGTGGTAGTGAGTAGTACAAGATGCCAAAATGCAAAGTTGAAAACTCTTTCTATACTCTTATCAACTACGGTATATGAACTACATCAATAGATTCAATCTTCAATATGATGTCTAATATGGCGATACCTATACTTTCTGAAAAGCATGTTTATATTTGTAATCATCACTCATCAGATACTGCAATCATCATTCATCAGATACTGCAGTTACATGAGTGTTGAATTACATCACGTTCATTGAAAATTTAGCTATATCTCAGGATGGTTTGCACGGGATCCATCAATCTTGAAGAGAGTAGGAAATGTGTTACTTCCGCCCCTTGATCCACATCTTGTGAGCCCTAGTCCAGTTATAATCGCTGAAGATTGCTTCAAGCTTCTAAACATCCCAATTGATAGAGTAAAACAAATTCTAGTGAAGTCCGTGGAGAAAATTTTTGGAGGTTAGTCGTCTGGTTCTTTGTACGAAGTTGCATATTAGGTTCAGCTTTTTTTTTTTTCGGTATTTAGTTCCTTCTATTAAACTGCATGCATGCTATGCAAAAGCTAGCCATCTGATCTCATGTCAGTAGGAATTATTGTTTCTACATCAATGAGCAAAACTTCAGTAGTAAACAAATTGTTTGAACTTCTTTAACCATTATTTCAGGTCAGGTATTGAAATATATGGACCTTGGGGACTATGTAGAGGAAAATGTTTCTAGTCTGAAGCATTTCATGGGCCAAGGTGGTGATACAAAAGAATACAGCATACCATCTTTGGTAGCCCTTTCAAGTGCCATGCGAATACTACAAAGGTACAACTAGCTAGTAAATTGGTCCAGTACTAATTTTATCAAGTATGGAGTAGTTGATTGCAGTATGTTACCATTATCCTGCCATATAATCATACTTTTTCAGTGGCCGACTTTTTATTCAATTTCTATGAAAGTGTAGGCATGAGTTCAAGATTAATCATGGCAAATGGGTCTCTTCCATTAAACCAAATTTGGGGCCAGGACTAAAGGAGCGAATTTGGGAAGCCGTGTTCTCTAATGATGACAAAATCGACATTTGCCACTCTATCAAGACTGAATTGCGAATGGCACTTACTTCTCTCCTGGGGGTAATCTCTATGACTAGTTATCAATAATTCCATCCTTCATTTTAGTAGCTCTACCTCAAACTTCAATTTTTGCCAATATATTGGTGTATGCTTTAGCTCCTCATCATATTCTGGTTCTCCACTAGTTCACTATTTCCTTTTTCTCCTTTGATTTGTACTCTATCTGTAGGATGCTGGTATCCTTGCAATCCCAACTGTTCCTGGTCCGCCACCAAAATTGCAGACTCAGCCGTCTACATTAGAAACTTTCCGAGCTAGA